GCCAGGACCTTGTGCTCTATGGGAGAGGTTTGGGGACCAGGATGAGTTTCTTACAGGTAGCATGAGAGACACCTGCTGTTTTCCTACTCCAGCTAGCAGGGAAGGATCATTTCTTCCCTCTCCACTGTGCATTGCTGGGGCTGCTGTGATCCATCCCTTATCCATGTATCCCACTCTATCCCTAGCCTCATGTCCTCTCCAGCTGCCCTGAACAATTTGCTCTCAGCAAGGAGGCCTGGTTGCAGGGACCTCCTGAAAATGCAGCCTCATAAATTTGGGAATGCCTTAAAACGCAGAAATGTCATACCATAGGAAGGAAAAAACAGGGGGGGGGATGATAATTCGAGGGTTAAAAAGGTAGGACATGAAATGTCCTGTGGCTCAGGCCCTGGGGCAGGTGGCTGATGGGTTTGTTCCTGGAGAGCTGGCACTCTTTCCCAGCAGCTTGGGGCCATCTCCATGGGTGGCCCCTCACCACAGGTCCTGGGATCTCAACCCCAACAGGTTGTAGACCCAGATTTCTAAGCCCAGGTACCCCCTTGTCTTTCTCCAGCACTAAAAATTTTTTTATATATAGAAAGAAATTATTTTTTTTTCTTTAAACAGAGATGTCATATAGGGACAGGAATTGTGATGTGACAGCCCCTTTTGTTGTGATGGTTAGATCCCAGCAGGAGGCCTGATGCACCCAAAGTGCCACAGCCTCCAGCAATGGCACACCTACAGGGATAAACAGAATAGTTTGGATTGGAAGGGACCTAAAGGTAATCTAGTCCATCCCCCTGCAATGAGCAGGGACATTTTTAGTACCTCTCCTCTCCTGGTGCCCAACTGCTGAGACATTCCCAAATTCAGCTACACCACTTCCAGACCCATCCAGGGAGGTATTTTGGGCTGTGAGGCCCTGCATAAAGAACTGAAATGCACCCAAGTGAGACCAGAAGTTGGCTGGGTGTCCTGATGCTGCACCTCCGTCTCTGATGCCCACCACTGGGCACAGCTGCCTCTGCTTAAACCCACGACAATCTGCCCACCACCATCCCTGGGTCCTGCGTTCTGGAGGGGCTCACAGCTGGGGGAGTCGGAGATGTCAGCCCCTTTAACCCACAACTAGCAACGCAAGGGCTGGAAAAACAAACCTAACACCTGAGCAAGGCGTCTGATGCAGAAGTTATCAGCTCAGAGTGGCACAGCAGTCACTGACTGAGGACAGGGAGCTCGCCGGGGGAATGAGTGCACTGGGGGGACTGACCTTGTGCAAGCAGCAGTGGCCGACCGGTCTCCTCCGGAGCGCTGGAGGAGGCTGACGAAACCCCCCAAGGCAGGGGGGCCATAGCTGCTGGCCCTGTACATGAGCAAACATTGCACACTCCGCAGCAGGCCCATGCTCCCTTTGAAGATGCTACCAGGGTCAAGGGTAGCCACGGGCTGGTGACCAGAGGGATTTCAGTGGCAGAGCAGATCACCTGGGCTGCACAGAGGGGCAGTTTAGGAAAGAAGATTAATAAAACGTGCAGAGGCACATGCCAAGTCAAAAAAAAAATAAAAAAAACAAACTCCCTCCCCCATGCAGCTTGCCTGCGCCATGTGCCTGTGACACGTGTAGGGTCCTGGGGACAGAGCACCTGGGAAAGCCTTGTTCAACCCCCCCAGGTGCTCATACCTCCCTTTGCACACCTTTCTCCGCCACCTGGGTACCAGTCCCCGTGCCCACTACCCACCTTGCCACCCCTCACAGGGAACCAGGGGCATTGCTTCATTCCCCAGCAGCCCCCTTCCTCGAGGAGGGGGCATTGCTGCTGCCTGCTCCAGGACAATCCCGGCGGGCGGCAATCCCGGTGGGCAGCACCTACCTGCCACCAGCTCTGCTCCTCAGACCTTGTGCAGGGGCTGAGCGTCTTCTGCGAGCACGTGCTCACCCTCAACAGCGACCAGGGGAAGCTGGAAGATGAGAACGTCAGGGGCAGGCGGGATTTGAGACCTAGAAATTGCTTGGCTCAGTTTGTTCTGTACAAGGGTGGAGAATATCCCAGGGAGCGCTCAGCACATGCCTTTCCCCGCAGTTGGAAATTGGTCACAGTGTGCATAGGCAGAGTTGTTTTTGTTGTGGTTTTTTTTTCCCCCCCTTTTTTTTTTTTTCATTAGCACTGTTCACACTGTTAAATGCACTCCCAGCTAGGTTGGGGCAGTGTTAGCTGTGGCTGGCAGATTAATTTCAGCCTAATACACCTTGCAGCTCCATAAGTGAGAGTACAGAAATCCTCAAAGCGCTACCTAAGTGGATTAAATGGTGAATCCAGGCCTGACATTGTAAATTATAAAAGGTAACAACAACGTGCCGTTGTCCGTGTCCCTCCCTTGTGGCCGAATTAGGTCCCCGTCCTGCCACAACACATGCTTAACCTGGGCTGGTGAAGTCAGCAGCCCCAGATGCTTGTGTAAGGTTACACCAGTGATTTTGCTTCAGCTGGAGAAGAGGCAAGTGAAGGCAGAGCCTGCTGCATGGGCTGCCAGCTATAAGGGACAGAGCCCAGCCTCTACAGTCAGTCCCAAGCAAGGAAACCAGAAACAAACGGCAACAGGCTCAAAAACACTTGTAATTAATGTAAGGAAATACCAGTGATGTCCTTGCTGAGCAAACAGGCTTTATGCACCCAGGAGACCAAGCATGAAAATCACATATATATATAAAAAAAATCATAATATGATCAAGAAAGCAATTAATATTTAAAGCTGAACTGGCAGACCTCAGGCAACTCCAGTTTTAAGGTGCTATGGGCTTAAAAAGATCACGTCCATTGCTGGCAGTCTTTGAGGTGTCCTAAACTATTTATATGAGAACAGGATGGGGCTGTACAGTGGGGAAAAAAAAAATCCCAAATCTCCCCCCGAAATCTCACTCTGGGGATATAACACTTATGCTAGAGGAAGAGCAGGTTGTGTACTCAGGCTGGAGTTTCCCAGATTACCAGGGCTCTAGACCATCAACTAAGACCTGAAGCAATGCTGAGGTGTTCAGGGTTGGGTACTGACCACAGCTGGCAGGGAAACAGCCACCACCCTCCCTGTGGCACCAAAAGGGACAGGCTGGGCTGCTGGGGGAGGCTGTGACCGGCCAGTGACCGCTGGTGGTGGTACTGACCCTGCGGTTGGGCAGCCTTGGACTTTGCCACTACAGGAAGCTGTGCCAGCTGATGTTGGGTAAGGATAAAAAACCCATCCCCATCCCCTCTGCTGCCCCAGGAACGTGAGCCTCTGCCACTAGCAGCCTCAGGTCTGCCAAGGGTGGGCTTACCACACCAGGGCAGAGGACATGGATAATTCGGATTTGGACAGAGCTCCTGACATCTTTGGTGTTGCAACCCTGCCCTTATCTTTGGATGGAGTCCGGCCACTCTGTGTTCCTCTCCAAGCCCCCTTTCTAAATATGGGCTTTGTTCATGTGTCCACCTATTTTTTTAAGCCTCTTTTTTTTTTTTTCCTAAATAGCCACACAGCTCATGTGAGCTCCTTTTGCGAGGAGATGAACAGGGCAGATGTGCCCCTGCACGCACTGAGCAGTGAATCCCAGGAAGCTGCAGCCAGGCTGGACAGAGCCCCATCCTGCCAGACCTCTTGGAAATGCCTTGCACCCTCCCAACAGTAACCATATTGGCCTTGGTCCTTTCCTGGCAGAAGCCATCACACAGTCCCACTGAGGTTAGTCCAGAGCCAGATGAGCTCAAGGAGCTACACCAGCCTCTGAGGATCTTCAGTGGGCAACTGGTCAGTTGCCAAGTGGAAAATATATATATATATATATGTACACCCAGTACCAGCCCCACAATTAATTTGGAGTTGTCCCTGTACTAACTGCCACTGTGGAGTCACAAGCCCGATGCTGAGATGCAGAGCCCCGTTGCTGCTGGGAACAGCTTCACATTCCTGATTTGACAGCGCCACCTCGTGAGGTGGCCCTGCTCCTGGGGACACTGTCGGACACTGTCCTGTCCCAGCGCTGCCTGTGCCCACCGCAGGCACCCTCCTCTGCACAGAGGCGACTCCAGGGATGCTGCACGCCCTTACGTGCACGGAGGTGATAGTAACAGGGTCTGCAGCCACAGCGACAGAAGGGGACATGATGCTCAACGTGACACAACTGCATTTTGTCAGTGGCCAAAGGGAGAAAGCTCAGGGCGTCCTAGAGATGTAAGGTTGGCAGAATCTATCCCACAGTGCAGATGAGGCCACAAAAACTCTGCTCCACACACTCCACAGGAACAGAACCCTTCCCACTCCCACTGATAGTGCAGAGCTACAGACCAGCAGACTCACTCTTCTGCCACAGGGCACATCAGAGATGCCAGGCACGACAGTGCCCAAAACCTGGAGGGCAGTAGCAGCCCTGCCAGGGTCTGATACCATGACATTACAGACAGCAGGATCAAATACACACCTGGGGAGCAGATTCCTCCTCCTCCTGCCAGGGAAACTGGTCACTGCTGCTCTAAGAGGGGTTCCTTTTTTCTTTCTTTCTCCTCTTCCCACTGGAGGGTCTCCAACGTTGGGCCTCAGTCCCAGACCTGATGAAGTAAGACAATTAATAAGAAATCTGGGGTTGGTCTGTCCAGGACGGGCACAGTGGAGTCCCCTATGAAATTTCATCATGACCTAAGCAGATGTGCTGACAGCAACCACACACAGCACCAAGGTGCTGCCGAGGACCATCAGATGTCTTCTCATCCAACCTCTCTGCTCAAACAAGATCCCCTAGAGCACAGTACTGAGGATTGAGTCCAGATGGTTCTTGAATATCTCCAGTGAGGGAAATTCCATAACCTCTCTGGACAATCTGCTCAGTCACCATCATAGTGAAGAAGTTTTTCCCAACATTCAGGCGGGACTTCCTCTGTTCCAGTTTTTACTCATCCTACTGCTCATCACCACTGACAAGAGCCTGATTTCATCTTCTTGAGATCCTTCCTTCAGGAACACATAGGCATTGATAGTCTTTTCCTCACCAGGAAAGCGGGCCTGGAGTATAACCAAGAGGGAAATGCTGAAAGCCCTGGGGTTCCCCAAGAGCCCTGCAGCTCCCCCGAGAAGGTGCCAGGACAAGGGTGTCACAATCAGCATGGCAGTTTGGAACATACCCCTGGAACGTAGCAGGATGATGACCGCTGGTGAGTTACCCTTTGCTGGAGGCTTCAGCCCCTCTAAACACTCCCCAAAGGGGACAGTGGGGGGAAAAAAGCAGTATTGGGCTTCTGAAATAAGAGCCCTCCCTGTAACACAGCTGTGCCTTCAGAAAAGTGGACATTTTGGGCCAGCCCACCCCCTCATATCCAGATCTTTCAGGCATGAATAAAACTTATTCACAGGATAGTGGGAGGTGTTTGGCACTAACTGACTTTTGATGTCTTGGGTGGCTGGAGTGGAGGGCTCCAGTGACTGCCCAGAGCCACAGCCTGTCCCCAGCCTGGTGTTGCCTGCTAATTTGGGGGAATTTGCTCTGAGAACCAGAGCAAGAGGACTCAGAGGGCGCCAAGGCAGTGGGGCTGGAGCAGCAAGCACCAGAGCACAGCACACAGTTGCTCTCCATGATAGCAGGGTTATACCTGGGGAAGGCAGAGGAGCACAGCTTGTCCCCTGCAGTCACAGCATCTCCCTTCTCCTGCCCCTATGGACCGTGTACCTTTGCTGTTTAGGAAGCTGCCATTCAAACTTCCCAGCTCCTGCATGTCGCTGAACCTGATGCTTTCCAAACAGCTTGTGCCACCCTGCCACCCATCCCAGGGCACATGGGTGCACTGGGACCCGGATTTCAGGGACTGTCCAAATCCTCCCACGTGTGCACAGTACAAGTTGTACCACGTACTCCTAAAGCTGTCCCTCTCAAAACTCATCCTTTGGCTCACCTTGATATCACACCCGGCAACACCAACCCCAGGTAACTTTTTCTTCTCCCCCTCTAGCGGCCATAGCTTCCACGGACATGGGGCTTCTGCTGAGAGATGATGTTTTTGTTGACTTTTTCAACACCTTTCTGAATCTTCCCGTAAGTCCACTCCGCACCATAAAGCCCGGGACCTTTCTGAGCTCTCCTCAGGTGAACTCTCAGCCTCTGTGGTGTTAAGAGACCCCAGGAGAATTGGAAATGCACAACACTCAGGCTGGAAAATGAGGGAAACCTGAGGATCTCAGCTTGGAGATAGAGGTCTAAAAGGGAATTGGGTGCCCTTCTCTGTAGTGGGAACCAACTAGAACAGCTGGGCTCTGGTCTCCTCTGCCACCCTCCATCTCTTTCATCTCTCCACTTTTGTTTTGATACAGGTTTTTGGCCAGACACCCATTTACATCAGTGGCACGGGCCAGTGGAACCTCTGGCCAGAGCTGTCGAGCCACCTGGTGAGAACATGCCTCTTGTGAGGAGGGTGAGAAGGAGGGAGAAAGGGCACAGGGCAGGGGAGGGAAGGACTCGGTTTCTCATTTCCAAGGCCCCTCTCTGGCTCTCCTGTTCGTGCAGCTGGGGTATTATTTCAAACCCGGGCGTCATTTTGCTTTTAAGCTCTGGGAGGAGCACAAGCCATTTAAAGTCCTGCAGCTTCTGGGGTCTGTCCAGCTCTCGGTAAACAGTGAAAGCTGGAGTTAAAGAGAGAGCATGTGTGGTGGCAAAGAAGGAGGACATAAATACCAGCCCCCTGTCCTCCTGAATTCAACAGGAGGGAAACCCTGATGATCACCAAACCCACGGGCATCCCCCTTCCCCGCAACCGCCGTTTGCAGAGCTCAGATCCCGCAAGCAAAAGGGAACCTGCTCCTCTCACGGCTGCCAGGAAGCTGCCATGCCTCCCTGTCTGAGCTCTGGGAAGGCAGGCAGGCTGCGAGGAAAGGCAGCCTTGAAGGCAGCACCGGGGCTCCCAGGTCTGCTGGCAAAGCTCGCAGGGGACACAAGCAGGGGCTGTAACTCGAGTATCCCCCTTCTTCTTCAGCACCGGCATGGCTTTCATCGCCGTATAGCAACAGGGTGCCTTCCCCACCTCCTCCCCCTGTAGCAGGGACCCGTTACTCACCCTAATCCCCGGGCTGAGGAGACGGCTTCTCGCTCACAGCTAATCCTCTCCCCGGGCACGGGGCTTCCAACGCAGGATCCCAGCCCTAGGGCTTTACTGGCTTGGTTGGAAAAGCACCGGCTGCCTCACTTCTGCAAATCGAGCCTGTGCCTCCACCTCGTCCTCTGCCAGAAGCTCCTGGGTTTCATTCGGTCGGGGGAAGCAGGTGAGTCATCGCGGCACGGAGGAAATCGGATCGGCTTCGCCGCCGCCGCTGGGCTTCCTCCCTCCAGGGCTGTCACTGCCTGGTGCCTGCCCAGTGGGTCGTGCCTCTGCTCCGGGTTAAAAAGGCGTTGCAGATCCCATTTTTAGGGGTGCAGCAGATCCCGATGGGATGCGCAGGGCTTTACTCCACCACCCGGTTGGTACAGGCTCGCTGTGGAGTTGAGCTGAAGTAGCTACTTAGCAGTGTTTACCACGGAGTCCAGGGGTGGAGCAGGGATGGAGAGCATCCTGGGGCGTGGGAAACTGAGGTGCTGATGTGTCGGGTTTGCTGCTGTGCATCTGGGAAAACAGGCCGTGGTCTCTCTTAGCAGCAAGAAGTCTGAATTGTGCCCACTTCACCCCTAAAATGAGCCATCTCAGTCTAGCCAAGTCTTTTGTGAGCCTGCACGTCAACTGCCACTGGAAAGAAAGCTATGGCAGCAGGAAAGCAGGTTCTCTTGTCAAAAAAAAAAAAAAAAAAAAGTAATTTATCAAGGCTCTTCCTGAATATCACTGCTGTTGCTCCAGTCAGGTTGAAATTCAAAGCTGGAGGAAGCTGAGGGCAAGCCTGAAACTCAAGCAGAAAAGATGGATGTTTGCAAGGGGAAGAGGCACCGTAGCTGGGCAAACTGTCCTGGGTAGGAGCGGGTTGTCCTTCCACACACCACCTGTGCATCCCACAGCCTGTTTGAAACTCCCAGTTCAGGGTGATTTGCTGGCCTTCTGGCTCCTCCTGCAGCCTCTGCCAGGGAGGCTAGGGGTGCTGGTTGGGGGCTGGAGGGCTTTCTTGGGATCACCCCTGCATGCAGACCTTGGTGCCACGCTCTGCAATCTCTCCAACAGCAGAACTCCTGAACTGGCGAAGTGCTGACCAGTGGCTGCTGGAGAAGTGCATCAGCGGGAGCCAGGGCATGCGGCACTTCCGAGCCTTTGTCCAAGGCACAGCAGGTGGGCATGGGTTGCTCCACAGGCCCTTCTCAGCCAGCTGTGGGTCACTTGCCTGGTGGGACACTGGTACAGAGCTGGGGGCATGGGTAAGCACCAGTGGGACAGAAGGACACTGTGATCCCAGAGAGAGCTTTGGAGGGTGAGCCAGCAGCAGAGCTGGGAGGGAGATGCATAACCCTGGCTCCTCTCTACCCTGTTCTTTCTGTTCATCCAGGAGTTCTTCCCTTCTCTTTCTTTAAAAATCATAAACTGCTTCACTCATCCTTGGGGCTTTCAGGGGCTCCCTCTAATTCCCAACCCTTGACTGATCCATAGGGGAAGAGTTGACTGACTTCTGGCTTACCACTGAAAGGCTCCTGGGTCTGGATGAGTCAGATATGAGTCAGAGGGACCTCTACCTGTCCTTGATTGACAGGCTGAAAGCCTCTCATCTGCGTGAAGGCTCCAGTGTCATCACCCTCTGCACGACCATCGCTGGTAAGAAATATCGGAGCTAGGGATAAGCAGTACCTTTCCAGAGAGGTGGTTTTTCCTGGATGCTCCCAGGGAGATGGGATACCATCACCAGCTTTGTGTGGCTGGGGATCAGTCTCCATGGAGCCATCTCCCCATCGTAATTCCCCGTATCCATTTCAGGATCACTGCCGAAAGCCAAGCACATCCAGTCCATCAGCAATAGGAGAGACATCCTAAGGAAGATGCAGGAACAGGCCCTTTTTATGATTCAGAGTTACTGGCTCCCTAAATTCTTCACTCACTGCAAGATGGGAATAGAGGCAGAGGAATCATGCCAGCCTTTGCTGCAGGAATATCAGGCACGTTTATTACAGCCTGACTGGCAGGAGCCCTCGGGCTTTTTGGAGACCCCCCACACGATGCATATCAAAAGGAGCCAGGGCTTGTCAGGGCCCTACTGCAGCCAGAAGGCCAAAGCAAAGATGTGGGCTCTGATCAAGGAGGGGAGAGACACCCAAGAAATGAAGATGCCCAGGTTTCAGGTGAAACCAGAAAGGCAGCCAGGGTCAGCTGGGAGCACAAGGCAATTGCATCTGGATAAGGATGCTTTGGGATCAAGTCCCCAGCTGTCAGAGCATCCTGCAAATACTGCCTTTGATGGCAAAAGTGGAGTAATTCCTCCCAGAAAACCTGGTGCAGAGCAGGTCAGTCGTCTGGAAGACCTCTGTAAGGAAAAAATCCTCTCTAACCTGACTTCCTCTGCACCTCTTGTCCAGCTGCCATCCCTGAAAGGGTCAGCCAAGACCTTGAGTTTCCTTCCCTGGGCCTTTAGTGCCGACATCTGTGCAGGACGACCCTTCAGAGACTTCTTGCAGCACCAGGGCCGGCCCATGGAGACTCATCTCCTGGACCTGTGGCATGACCTGGAGGAATTTCTGCCTGTGGTGCTGAACTCCAACAGAGAAAACAGCTTCTTCCTCCGTCATTTGACTGGGGATAAGATATGCAAGACCTACCTGGAGGAGGACAACATTGGGAAGCTTCCCTTGGACACCACGACTCTCACGGGTTTGTGGAACCATCTGATATTTGGAGAATTCTCCCCCTGGATATTCAGAGCCCAGAAGGAGATTTGCAAGGTACAGAGGGGTGCTGGCAGCGGTCAGGCTGGGCGGGTACAGCTGGCATTGTCACCCCTGCAGTGAGAAGAGGTATTTAAAAAATCAGGAGGAAAAGAGATTAGGAAGGGGAAAATGTACAGTCACAAGTCACCTTGCACTGGAACCAGTGACCAAGATGCACCAGGCCAGTGGAGAGGAGCATCCCCGCGGTCTGTAGGGTAGCAGAGCAGAGGTAAACATAAGAATATCTCTGGTGACCCTGGCTGTTAGATGCACATGCCAAGGGTCAGGGAATGACAGGGCAGTGGCCATCCTTTCGCATCCAAGTCACTGATTCCAGCACAACACAGGTGAAACGCAGAACCCAAGCCCTTCTGGGCAGCCCTTGAGCAGCCCAGTGGACCAGCCCGGATGTGCAGTTGCTGGTGGAGCTGTCCTGGAAATCTCAGCAAGGTGTAATCCACCCACAGCATCACCACTGTGACCTTAGGGTACCGTGGGGCTGGCGGATGGTGGGTGCTGCTGGAACACTGACTGAGGACAACTGACCTTTGCTCCCTCTTAGGTGCTCTGCCGCTTCTATGAGGAATTTCTGGCTGCTGATGATAGGACATTCCTCCAGTTTATGGTAAGGGGGATGCACAGGGCACACAGGCATCCTTGTGGGTTGTGCAGGCACCAGTGGGGATGGAAAAAGTGGGAGAGAGAGAGAGAGAGATTGGAAGGAGATGCCCAGCATTAGCTGCTGTAGTCCAGCATCCCACAATGACCTCAGCCAACACCACCTCGAGATGATGCAGCAGATCCTGCTCTGCTCCAGCTGCCTGGAGCAATGGTTCTCAACTCTTCCACCACAGCATCCCATGAGTCAGCAGCACTGCAGGCACACCCTGCAAGAGCTCCCCTGAGACAGGCTGTGACCCAACCTAAAAGCAGGGAGAGACATAATCACAGTCTTTCAGGGTAGGCAGGGGTGAAACTAGCACTTCTGGGAATTAATTCCCCCTCCTTTTTCCCTTGCCCGCAGCAATTACTGCTGTTAATGTGACCCACGTGCAGACACACAGACAATGATCCTGTCCCAGCACCAGCGCCTGGGCCAGCACAGGGGGGAAGAGGGCATGCAGCCTTTTAGCCTATGATTCAACCACCCTCAAGTTTTCCACATTTTTTTTTTTCCACTGTGGAAAAAGATGATTTAAGAAATCAGAGTCACACAAGCACTCCTCCCAGATTATTATTCCTCCTAGCAGTAGAAATCCCACTAATACATACCCCAAGTGCTAACCTTACACCCAGAAACCTCCTTGCAGGCAGAACCTCCCCAAGAATCCCACCTGCTTGGGTACCTGCATGACCTGTGCAGGCAGTTTTTCTCGCTGCAGATGGTGTTCTTCAAACCACCTGTTTTCCCCAAAATGAACTCTAAAATCAGCAGCTGATCCTGGAAGTGTTAAGGAGAGCTCTCAGGGCTGGTGTCCTCAAAGACCTGGTTTCACCAAGTTTCAGTCAGCAAGAGCTGAGCATTTTGGAAAAGTCATTAAGTACTCTTGGTTGGAAGTTAATTAGCTGCCCAGGTTTTTAAGCATCTCTTGTCAAGGAAATTACCCCTCAGAGGACAGACGTGGTCTGGGAGCGCAATTAGCACATCAGCAGGCATGGAGGCCCTGCTGTCCACAAGCATCGTCCCCCAAGCCAAACTCTTCCTGGGTCTTGCTGCCCTGGTGCCAGGGGAACTGCTGGGGGCTTAGCAGGGTTATTTTTGGTGCTCGCTCTCAGCAGTGTGTATCTCAGCCAGAAACCAGCTCCTCTGAGCCTGCTGCTTGGCGAGTCATGCAAACTGTTTGGCTGTGGGGAAAGACAAAACCTGCAGGAGGGTCTCCATGGGAATGAGGGAGGCACCTCCAGGGCACTAGCCAGAGCCAGCCCCAGGGACAGCCGCCAACAAAATGGCACACAAGGTTACTAGCCTGCTGGGGACACCTTCAGGGCTGTTTTCAGCCCTCCTCCTGTGTGGATGTTGGACTCTTCGGGAAAGTTGCAAGCCCTTGTCTGGACTGCCTTGGGGACCTGCTGCATGCCCCCAGTACCTCCCAGCTGCAGGCAGATGTGAGCCAGATTTAAGCAGCTGCTTAAGGTAGTTTAAGGTCACGTAGGTTTCTTCTAGACCGTTTAAAGCTGAAGCAGACATCCAAATCGGGTAGCTCTGCACTCTGAGGCACAGTAAACCACATGGGCACAGTGTGGGAGACATGGAACGTGCTCTGTGCAATCACCCTGCCCTCTTCTCATCATAGTCTCCAGGGGCTGATGTCCCAGTGCCCGGGATGCAAGGCCACACTGCTGACAGAGGTGAATGTTTCCTCCTGTCCCAGAGGATAAACCAGACCTTGAAGCTGAGCCAGGCCTTGCATGGCACAAGGAACTTGGAAGGTGTCTCCTCCGAATACTGGCAATTACTTGTTTCCTGGGACCTCCAGAAAGGGGGCTCCACCCAGGCAGAGATGAAAATGCTCCTGTGCAGCCCTGGTAAGAGAAGGCTCTGAATCTCTGCTGTGGCTCACGTTAGGTCAGTTTGCTGAAGCATATTTTATGCACCTACAGTGACCAAGGCCCTTAGACAGGCCATGGATATCATGGAGTGGGTTGGGACAGAGTATCTGGGAGCCTTCAGCTGTAATCCAAGCTTTGGCAGCAACCTATGGGCCAAATTCCCTGACAGCAGTCACCTGTAGCAACCCTCAGGTAGCTTGTGGGGCCTCAGTTGTGCCCAAGAAACGCAGTTCATGGGCAGATCATGGAACACAAAGGCATAGGGAAGGTAACCATCAACATATAGCCCTCAGAGCCAGCGCTGAAGGGCTGTCGTAGCCAGAAGTGATTGACATGGGATCTGTCCCCTCTTCTCTCTCTGATGCAGACTTCCAGAAGATGATGTCAGATGAGCTGGCTGTGGATAGCCCAAGCAAGGATGATGAGCTTGTGCATCTCCTAAATGCATTACTTGGTGAGTCCGGTCTGAGCAGACAAGAAGCAGGTGGGCTCCCAACCATCACATCCTGGCAGGTGCTCCAAGATGCTATGAGGTGATTGGACAAGCAGGAGTCTTCCCTGCTTGCGCATCATCACCTGCTGGAACATCTCCAGAAGGAGAGAAGGGCCTTTCGACCCTTGAGAGGCGTGTGTTTTGGGGTGTTAATCCAGCCAGAGAGGGTGGGAGTGGGGAGACTTCTCTGAAGCAGATGCAAGGAGGCCAAACCATGAGAGGTGAAGAGTCCCCACAGTACCCAGTGTCTCCTGAGCCAGACTCAGCACTCAGACACCAGCATGGGAGCTCTGGGTCCTTCACCCTGAGGACAGCTGGGAGCAGACTCTGGCTTTCACCTGAGGAAGAGGCCAACCCTGTTCTGTCCCCACAGCTGCTGGACCCAAGGGGAGTGCTGGAGCGATGAAATTCCCCACTGCTGCAGTAAAGAAGCGAGCTAAAAGACACAGGTCAGGCACTTCGCAGTGCGGGGCTTTGCTGGTTTTTGCTACTTCCACTCTTGCAGGAAGCAGATTTTCCCCAGTGCTTTCCTGCAGTGCCATTGCTCCCTGTTTTGTCATTCAGCCCTCTCAGATGGGTAGCCTGTGTGTCTGAACTGCAGAGTTATCAGGGAAAGGAGAAATATTAACACCGCCACAGTTCAGATTCGCTCCTCACATCTTGTGCGTGTCTCATGCACTTCATCCTCAATCAGTCCCTGGAATGCCACCTAAGCAGCGCTCAGATTCCTAGAAAAATCACTTAAAATCACCCTGTAGACACACTTAAATTTCTGTACTCGTGTCACCTCCTGGGAATACTCCAGTTGTGAGTCCTCACAGCTTCTCTCTGGGATTTAAAGCAAATGGAAAAACAGTGGTGAGCACCTGAGTCGAGCTGGCTCCTCAAGCCCAGTGGTTCTGCAAATGCACCCTTTCGAAATCCATCCCACCCCAAGAGGCCAAACAGCAACTGCTAAAAACGCATTTCCCTATGAACTATCAGCTGGTACATTGAAATTCCATTCAGACTCTCACTTCAGCACAACTACCAAGTCACCTCTCGGCTTGCAGGGTGCTGGACTGGAGGAGGAAACACTGCAGATAAGCAGGACAGATACTCTCAAGGCTGCTACATGCAAGAACAGAGCTCGGGGAGGGGATCTAATGCCCTGCACCATTGTCCAACCTCCTCCAGGGACAGAAATCCAGTGGGATCCCAACCCCAGGGCTATCCCTATCGGCTGCTCCCTGCCTTAGACACCATGCCACCAAACCATTCCACCAGTCTTATGCATCTGCCTGCCCTTGATGCTCTCTCTCTCTACTCTCCCATCTGGCAGGGTTAAGCAGAAGCAGCAGGACCAGCAGGAGGAGGAGCAGCTGCAGGAGCTGCTGGCCTGGAACAAAAAGCCTAAGTCCAGGCGTCGTGTGCAGAGGACCACCGCTGTCCGGCGTGAGGCACAGAACCTCAAGACAGAGAACCTTAAAAAAGAGAAGCTCAAGGCACAGAACCTCGAGGCAGAGAACCTTGAGACAGAAGACCTTGAGACAGAGGACCTCGAGACAGAGGATCTTGAGACAGAGGACCTTGAGACAGAGGGGATGGTAAGGAAGGGCCCTGTCTGCTGGCCAGCTGGGGATGTTTTTTCCAGGCAAGAAAGAGAGGAGATGCTGTGGCCCAAGTGGTGTCACACAAAAGGGGTGAGGGGGTCAGACTTGAAGAGTTGCAAAAAGGTGACAGGTAAAGACTCCCTCCTACGGGCTCTGGAAGCCTGCTCCATGCAGACTTCACCAGATTTGGTTATGAGTAGCCAAGCAATTCACACCGTCACCTGTGGCCACCAGTGAAACCAAGAAATGCTGGAGAGCAAAGATGATGGATGGATCACAAATCCCACTGCCAAGGCCGCGCTCTGCTGCTCCAGCTCAGGTCCAAACAGGATGGCTCTGTCCAGGAGCAGTCTTAAAGCTGCAGCTCCCTGGCTCATGCCAGCTGTGCTGTGTCTCCACAGCAGTGGGCCTGGGATGCCGTTCGTGAACTCGTCAGGAGCTTCTGCAAGTTCCGGAGGGAGATGGAAAATGATGAACGCCGTGCGGAGTTTGAGAACTTTCTCTGTTGGGAACGAAGAAACCGGAGGGAAAGTATGTCCAGACTCCTGCCACCCCTTCTCCTCCCTCCCCAAGACAGTCCTGGATTTAGGTAGAGAAGTAAATGGAGGAAACCTGTGGCTTATCCCCTACCCCCATGACTTAGTTTTCTCTGCTGAAGTTATACAAAGAGCCAGAAAATCGGGTATCTCAGGATGCCAGACGTTGCTGTGAACACTTAGATGTGCAGAGTTTTGCACAGAAAACATACACACACACACACTTTGGTGCGATATCTGGCTTTCTGTAGGCGCCCCATTATGCTGTTGCATCTGTCTCAAACAATATTGTATACGCAGGTTTGCATCCCTTCCACGAAAAAAAAAAAAAAACAGGAAACACTAAATGGAGCTAAGGTGAGACAGGAAGAAATTGTTTTCTGGGCAACAGGGAACTGACCTGCAGTGTTTTGCCAAAGATCCTGAAAGTTTACACGCGGGTTTGAGAAGAGGCTGGAAAAGCAGTTAGAAAAGAAAACAACAGAAATTGCTCAACACACAGAAACCCAATCTAGATCAAGAGAATTTTGTCCTTGGGGGAAGTAACACAGATTTTTACCTTTCCTTCTCCCTTGTTATCTGCTTGTGGCCTCTGTCAGAACCAGGGTAACAGCTGTACAGACCAGCCAGCTTTAGACCTAATGTCCTGTGGCCATTCCCGAGGGAAACAATGAACATAAACACTCTGTGGGTGCAAAGAGGAGGGTGGATGGTTATCAAACCAGAGGGAAGGCTGCACACTGGATGGTCTGGATTCCCTGGAAAGCCTGGCTGCAGAAATGCTGCAGTCCACACAGGGAGAAAGACCCTCAGCAAATTAACTGCACAAAGGCAAAGGAGGCACAGGCAAGGAGCAGGGTATAGCTCAGCACCAGATGGCCACTTTCCTTGCACCCAGAAGCAAGACACAGCAGTTTTTCTCCTCCTTCAGACTTACCTGTGAGCTCAAAGCAGAGCAAGAGCCCCGCAAGGACCTCCCGCAAGGGCAAAGCCCCCCTGGAAAACGTGGTGCTGGTGAAACGCTGCATACTTGACAAAGAGGTCATTGTCGTCAACTTCCTCGTGAATGACCTCCACTTTTACCTGGAGATGGACAAGTAAGTTCCCTTTCCACCAGGTGGTCAGGTGCCACCACAGAATCGTAGAATGGTTTGGGTTGGAAGGGACCTTAAAGATCATCTCATTCCAACTCCCCTGCCACATGCAGGGACACCTTCCACTAGACCAGAGCTACATCCAACGTGGCCCTGGCATCAGTCTCCCTTGGCTCTGATCCAAACCCATCCTGCAGGTAGTACCCATCTCTGATGGAGACCTCCAGAGCCCCTGTTTCAACCTGAAATCATCCCTTGGCTCAGGGTTCCTGTTTGGGTAACCTGAAAGTATTTGTGGTTTGACAGTCCGAAGCAACCTAACATTTTGCCTATACCTTTCTTGATACGCCAGTTGTGGTGACATTTCTCTCTTGACTTTGTCCAGTTTCCCAGCAAACCTGTAGGAGCAATCCATGGCCAATATACCCTAGCCCTGCAGCCAATAAAACCCCACTGGCTTTTGATTTCCTCTTTTCCCAAAAAAACCCAAAACATCACCTCCCCCAGATGAATGCTGTGATGCTGAGGGTGGTAGAAGAGGGAAGTAGCTTTTCACACCTCCTGTTTCTCTGTTCCACACCTTGTGGATTGCTTTCTGTGGCCTGGCAAGCACTAAATTAAGCAGGAACACGACTTGTCTAGCCCAGCAGTTAACAGCACTTGTCTCAGAGCAAGACCCCACGTGCCTTTGCAGGTTTTCTGGGATGGCTGATGCAGTGGAAGCTCTGGCAGCCTGCAACATAGAGTCAGAGAGGAAAGTTGCTTTTCTTAAAAAGAAACTTGCCGTCATCAACAATCTCTTCCTAGACTCCAGCATACCCCCAAAGCTGCGGGTAAGAGCCTGGGACCTGCCCTGGAAGGCCAAAGTCTGCTGCCTGCTCATTGCTCAAGACCGTTGCAGCTGGGAAGGGTTGTGGGGAAAGAGGAACCAGGCAGAGGTCTGAATCTGCTCCAGCAAGGCATGCTGTGGGGCTTCAGGGTATACTCTGGAGCTTGGGAATTCCACTCAAACTACAAGGGGTAGGAAGTGATCCAGCACCAGACCCACGCTAGCACTTGACCCAGATAGACTGAGAACAAGAATGTGGACAGGGAGATGGAGAGATCCCATACCTGCTGGAGAAAATGCCAGGGCTAAAGCACCAGGATGGGTGCTGCACACCACCAATCCAGTCCTTTCCCTCTCCAGAGGTCGTCACCATCATGCCCTCCCCACTGCACCCACCCTTGCAGTAGCCACAGCTCTGCCTGAGTCCCTCTTGGACAGCACAGCACAGTGCTTTCCACAGAAACGCAGGCAGGATCCCGCCCGTGTGGCTGGGGCAGTCAGGATGTAACTAGGGTCTCTCTTCTTAGAGACTGCCGAAATGCAAGGGGGGGTCAGGGAGAGAAACCTGCCTCCAGGGCTGGTCAGGTGTGCTGCAAACTGCTTTGGTCTCTTCTGTGCCCAGGTGAACATCTCTGAAAAAGAGAGAGAATTAATCTGGCGTTTATCTTCCAAGGGGCCACTGACCCGTGCCATCTATCACAAGGCCAAGGCCACCATCGTCCCCATCCTGATGTACTTCTGGAAAAGGTACCTCTCTGTTCCCTCTCTCCCAAGGTGGAGGGGACTCTGTGGATTCCAACCTTTTTCCTCCAGCCACTTTCTGACTTGCTGAAAATGCAGATGAAACACTCCCAGGAGGTCAGATGTCTGCTTGGATGGTTTGCTGTCTCTGGTATTTCTCACGCAGGTTCTGCACCTGGAAGGTGATGAGGAGCTTTCGGGTCCATGAGGAGGACAGGAGCTTTCAGGCCTCCAAGGAGGACGGGGGAGCAGTCTCTAAGAAGCACAGGGTGCAAATCTCTAAGAAGGACAGGGGATTGATCTCTAAGAAGGACATGGTGCCAGTCTCTAAGAAGGACCGGAGATTGGTCTCTAAGAAGGACAAGAAGGACAGGGGGCCGATCTCTTCGCTTCCTACAAAAACCTCCTCCAAATCATCCAAGACCCGCACTCCCCGTCAGCCAAGGCCCATTCCGATTGCTTCAGGTTTTTCTGCAGGTTTGTTCTTCCAATGCACAGTCACCTACACCTGGGGTCCCACAGAGTTCCTCTTAACAGACCCTCTCCTCCTTCACACAGCTTGGAGGATGTATGTGGCGCAGGCTTGCTGGAAAATGGAGTGGAATATTTTTATCCTGTCAAAATCAATCAGAATTGCCCAGTGGAATTTTAGAAATTTTCTTTGGTGAATAGAGAAGTGAGTGCAGAGGCTTCTAAGAAAAGAGCTGTTGCATAATTCTTATTTACTTTAATAGCCAAGTTAAAAATACTCAGGCAAGCACCCAAAAACAGAAGTAAAACAACCAATCTTTTGGGTTGCAAGCCAGATGGGAGCAGGAAAAGGAGAACCACCATGCAGCCAAACACCAGGCTCAGCTGTATTCCATGGAGGGTGCTTTGAATATCTGGAATGGAGAATAAGTTTCATCAGGATTTGAGGTGACATCTGCAGGGAAAAGAGAAAGATGTTTTTTCCTTTCTCATCCACTTGTTTAGTTTCAATGCACCGAATAACTCTAAAGTGAAAAACACAAAGAAAGTGGTGCTGTGCGCTGTCAGTCTGCCTGACAATCCGCTCCTTGGCTGAATATTCATTTGGAAATTGTCTAATTGATTTTTGATTAAAGGGGAAACCAAAATAGGCACATACTAATCTTGCTTTGATGGTTGAGTGGGTGTCAGCAAGCTGGTGTTCTGCTCCCTGTCATTTATCACTGTCAAGTTCTGGTTAAAAAGCAGCAGAGTTGGAGGATTTTGGTACCTACAGGCAGGTGCTTGAGCTACTGCTCTTCAGCCAGGCTGGGGTAACAGACCCCTGTGTTCCAGGACTGCCAGGCACAATGTCTGTTAGCTCAAACCACCTCACACCACGGGTATTCCCATGGTTACCGTAGCATCCATCTCGGGTCTCCACCTTGTTACAGAGCCTCACTGCACTTCAAGGACCTCCTCAGACGTGGCTGTCTTAATGCAAAAGTCTACTGCCACCAAAAAAAACCAAAACAAACAACCAAACCAACCAAACAAACACACAAAACCAGAAACAAACCCACAAACAAACAAACAAGAAAAAAAAAACTAACCAAAGTTTTTTCAAGGACACACGTTTCCCTGGGGCTTCAGGGAACTGGAGGGGAGAGAGACACATTTAAACTAAAAGAGTGTTAATTTAGATTAGATATAAGGAAGGATTTTTTTACACTAGAGGGTGGTAAAACACTGGCACAGATTGCCCAGAGAAGCTGTGGCTGCCCTTGTCGCTGGAGACATTCAGAGTCAGGTTGGATGGGGCTTTGAGCAACCTGATCTAGTGGAAGGTGTCCATGCTTTTGGCAGGGGATTGGACTAGATGGCCTTTAAAGGTCCCTTCCAAGACAAATTATTGTTTGATTAAATCAGGACAAGCTGTTGAAAGGGTTAAGAGTGTCCCACTGCTGCCCAACCAGCACAGCCCATGTTTAACTACCCAGAACCACACAGAGTGAGTGTTTTGGGTTGCTCTGGACACGTAGATCTCTTTCACGTGGACATTAATCCTGCAGGGACTGTTCCTGGGACAACTGTCCCCAAGCCACAGCTCCTTGTAGCATCTCACAGGGATGAATAACAGAAGCCAGGCAGAAAAAAAAATCCCTCACCTTGGGTGGCGTGTCTTGGGAATAGATGTGTGACCTAAATTAGCTGCTGTTTCTGGCTGTGCTAATGTCCAGGCCACCTTTTGCTTGAGTCACTTTTCTGTGCGTTCTCATGCTCTCGCCAATGACCTTTATCTAAGGGTCTTGCTTTTCTGGCCTTTAGATTAAAAGCTTGCTTTTCAGCTGGGGGGAAAAAAAATTGCTTTGTTGCCTTTAAAAAGCACCAAAAGTGCTGGGGAAAATACCTGTAATTCCAGAGATAACCTGCTGTTGCCCACGCCTTGCTTTCCCCTCCTTCTGAAGGGCTGCGCCAGGCGCGGCGTGTGCAGGGCTGGGAGGTGGCCGGCAGGGATCCATCTCCCATCACCAGGCGTCACTGTGGCACTGTCTGTGCCTGTGCTCGGCGCAGGGACGGTCCTGTGGGACTGAGCACGCTGCCTGAGCCGTTCACGGCCGTCAGCACCGAGATGCTGCCCAGGCAGGCAGAAAACCGGGACGCACCTCCCCCGTTGTCTCCATATCCCATTTCCTCCCGCATCTGCCACAAAGGACCCCCCAGCCTCGCCACAGATCCTCCCTCCTTTGCCATTGGAGCACTTGCTGCACGGTAACCACACTCCATCTCTTATCTCCCACCAGGGAAAAGCCCTGTCCTTGTCTTCTCGCTCTCTGAAGGCCTCCAGATACTGATGCCCCAGCCCCAGAAGAAAACTGAGCCTTTGGAGGAGCAAGAAGGTGAGCCAGTGCTGAAAGGAGCGCTCCTGCTCCCGAGGGGAGCTCCAGCTGCTGGGATGGGAGATGGGTTTTAGGGCTTCGTGCATTAGTCCATGATAGGGGAGTTTGTGTGTGTTGTTTTTCTCAGATGCAGATAAAAACCTTGAGAAGAGGCCCTCCCTCAGCAAGTGAGCAGGTAGGTGGTCACAGAGGTGTTCTACCTCCCCCAAACCACAGTAGCACAAGCTACAACTTCTCTTAAAACCCAAAGGTTCGTGCAGGATGCTGGTCAGCCCCACCATCTCCAGTAATATTCACAGAAAACTCTCAGCTGCTGCACCTCTCCATGCCCTAAACTCCTCCCCAGGAGCACACAACCGTGTGCTTATCCCTGATCACCCTCACCCTGCCTCCAGCAGCAGCAGCCACTGATGCAACATCTCTCTCTTCCGTGCAGACACCAAGGAAAGGACAGCCCTGTCTAGAACAGCACCCCTCCCGAAACACCACCCACAGGGAGTGGGACCAGGGTGTGATCCAAGGAATCTGAGCAGCCTGGTCACACTGAATAGCTTGCACTTAATCAGCAGTCAGACCTAAAAATAAAGCAACTCACAAGATCCTCCATCTTACCTGGTAACAGCACAGCAACCTGCAGCTCTGCAACCATGACAGAACATGCCACAATCTGTGCTTCTAGCCCAGGAGACGCCCTCATCCCCACAAATCTCCTTCCTCACATGTATCTGTAAAATGTTATCTCAGCTCCTCACCTCTCCCCACCTTCCACACAGATCAAGTACTTCCTGTGGTGGCGAGGCTGAGAGAGTCCACCTGTGTGATGAGATGGTGCCCCTCTTGCCGGAGCCTTTCTGATTTTCCAATCAAAATCAGCTGATGCCTGACAGGGTCTTCAGTCTTTAGCATGCACCTTTTTTTTTTTTTTTTTAAGTTGTTTTTTAAAGCTGTTTTGTTTACCAAACATTAACCAAATCATATCAAAGATATGATTCATTTTCCCCAGGTGAAACTGAGTCAGAGTGGCTTTGCCAAGTCAGCAGGAAGCTGCAGACATTTCTTTTGGACCTCATGAAGAAAAGATCACTACCTTTATCAGAGTTTGACTCTGTCAGAAGCAAGCTCTCAGCTTTGTGATTTTGAGCTATTCTTAACCACTTTTTAATCTCTCTGATCCTAGAAGACTGCATCCTAGGAATAACACAGGTACATTTAAGGCAGATGACAACACGTTTAATATTTGTGAATTATGATTATCCACACTTCTGGAGGATCAAAAATACCCAAACAAATAGAAAGTCCAGGAACATTTCTCTAAATGAAGGGCTTGGGAAGCTGATGGCACTCCTACAACATGAAACGTGACCAGCTCCTCAAAATCTTCCTTGTGCTGTAAAAGTTGACTCTGACCCAGAAGGTTTCAGTCCCAAAAGCTTCCTGCATTTTTGTGAGCTTTGCACTAATACTCCTGAGCCCAGCTGAGCCCAGTCCCTCAAAGGCTTCACAGATGTGCCTGAAGCTCAACACAGCAAAACCACAGCTAAGAGCAATCCGCACTCCACCGCTTCTGTGGACTGTTCGTGGTTTTGTTTTTCGGCGCAGCAGATGGGCCACAGTGACCTGAGAGCATCCCTATGCACACAAGCATGTCCTCAGCACGCAAGTGCTGGGATGGGGAACACCTGATCCCACCACATTGGGCTGAGCCCGCTATCCCAGGGGTCACCCAGCAGGAGCAGAGGAAGAAGACAGAGGCACAGCAGATACACAATGCACAGGCACGACAAGAGGGCAGTGACGTGTGCGGGGCCAAATCAGAATGTCCTTGGGCACCATCCATGGCCTTCAAGCCTTCCTCTATGAGACAAAAGCAGACAGCACCTCCCAGATGGGCACTGATGGTGGGAACCACTGGCACAGCCGACAGTTTTGGCAGCTGGCTCTGCTCCCAAGTCCCCAGGATACCTCCTCCCCCAAGCTGTGCCCTCAGACACTGACACACCACCCAGCTGCAATACTGCCCAGCTGCCCTTGCCACAGGTTTTCCATCCTGCCTGACCTGCTTTCACCAGGCACTTGACCATCCTCCTGGGAGAGGCAGCATGGTGTTTTCCCCAGCCCTGCTCCCAGTCTCCTGTATCCCCTCCTCCTCCCATGGTCTCTGTGAGCAGTCTACTTTGCAGATGCTGTGCATGGATCACGTTTTTTCTTTGACACCAGCCTGCTGGTACCTCTAGTTTCTTGGAAAGCAGGACACGAGCCTTCTCTGGAAATCCTTCCCAACAGCCAGATTGCCCCAGCGAGATAAGTCCCAGCCTCCTCAGATTCAATGATTGCTCTTATTCAGGCATGCCTTTGAAGGCTGCTGAGTCACAGCCCTTTAGTGAAACAGCAGAATGATGGAAGAAGATGCAAAGGTCAAAGGAAGCTGGAAATGTGGCATTTTACAAGAGACTGAAGGAGCCCAGCCCGTGGCCTCACCTCTCCTCATGCAAGAGCAGAAATGCTGCTGTGGCAGAAGGCCACCATGCTCCCCACAGCACTCCTGCTCCCCACACTGCTGAGACCTGGGCACACATCTTGGTGTTCTCCTGCTTTCTGGGCATGAGAGAGACACGATGAGCAAGAAAAAAAGGGCAGGAAGGAAAGGAAAAAGTGTAAAATATCGACACAAAAGGAGTCAGCATTCTCTTGGATGCATTTTCTCTACTACCATCTCATCTACAGTTGCATAGTCAAACTTCTGTTATGTATTTAAAAGGTTCTCAGGACCATCAGAAGGACCTTTGCTCTGATCCAGGACTCCTGACGCAGATGGGAGTTTCTCATATTGCGATGTGCTGATGTGAAACGTCACACAGCCCTGCCTGGTGTCACACGCCACCAGTCACGGCGAAGAAGGGGTCCCTCTGCCCATCCAGAAAGCCGGACTCTGCTTAAAATGCCTTTAAAGCCTTGAAGCCAGCTTTTCTCAGCAGCTGCTCTTCACTGCTACTTCCCAGCAAGTGTCCCCAGGTGGCGTTTGTTTCCCAGTAACTGTCCCATCCCAGGAAGGAGAAGCACTGGGAGCCTTAAAACCCCACGGGGAAGGATGTTGGGGTTTCGGGGAGGGTATTTGGCAACGTTTTTTTCAGCACATAGCAGAGAGGTTGTGAGCCAAGTGCTCTCCCCATACGGTCCCATCAGAGATCTGGTTTACAAATATCTGCTCAGCAGAGGCTCAGGAGCTGAAGGCACGGAGACGTTCAGTGCATCAGTGCTGGGGTTTGGGGGAGTTTGGGATGGTTTGGGTTATTATTTTAAGCTTTTCCTGACCTTTTGATGAATCCGTCCACATGAGGAAACTAGCCATGATGCTAAATTACACCCAGGGAGCCACTGAGCTCCAGATTCATGGTTTCTTCATGGCACTGACAGGCAGCTCCTACTGCCCAAGCACCCTCCTCCTTGGAGCCAGTTCTGTGCAAACAGTGCTGCCCAAGAAGGCTGGTCTTCCAGCCCTTCCCATCTGCCTGCAAAGCATGTGAAGAAAATACCTGAAGGAACCCAGGCTGTGACATCCCACTCAGTTTCCCCCACCGCCCCTTGAGGTAAGGTGAGCTCAGCAGGGCCCACACAACCTCCCCAGCCGCCCTCACTGAACTGTGCCAGCTGCAAGATTCAGTTCAGACACGAAACAGGGCTGAAACTGTGCCAATAAAATCGTGCCTGGCTTTCCACTGTGCCTTGGTACATGCACAAAGTGCAGGTCTGCAGATGTACACAGAGACACGGCCAGATGCAAATGCAGGGCAAAAATGCAGCAAACCCACCTGGAAGGGCTGCATGGATACAGCATGCACATGTTTTACGTGCATATCCCAATCCTTATGGATGCCTGCACTGCTGGCTCACGCCTGCACACCAGCTTTCACAAAACTCTGCCTGTGCAGAGTCACGTCTTTCTACCTTACTGTCGTGTTGGGCATCCTGCTTCCCACAGCATGCGGTGCATCCACAAGGTTTGGGAACATCCCATGGTCTCTGGATGGAATTTCACAGCATTTGTGTTGCCACAGGAGACCTTGACGCAGCTCCCCAGGGACAAAGACACTGAAAACTCAGGGAACAATCTCAAATCACTCTCGAGGCTGTCAAGATCTCATTTTAATTCACAAAAGGAATCACTCCCAGTTTAACCAGAGCTGTAGCTGTAGCTGTAGCTGCCAGTGTTTACCCATTTGCAGGCTGGCAAACAAGCAAAGCAGAGGCACATCCCAGGCTCAGATCCAAAAGACATCCAAAAGAAGTCAACATCACACTACATAACAATATCACGCCACCCACCCAAGTACCAAAGCCTTCTTCAGCTTGCTGATTTAATTAAAGTATTTCATTATCTTATGGTGGGAAGATGAAAAACCCTAGAATGGTGGGAACCCAAACCCTAGGATAATGAGAACAAGGTGTTTGCAACCAGCAGGGCTGTGGCAGAAGGATCCTGTGGCTGTACCTCAGCAAAGAAGGATTTGCTGGTAACACTTTCCTTATCTCTCATCCCTGATCCAAATTGCTTTCCGTAGTCATAAGCTTAAACCCAGTCCCTGTGACAGGCAGTTTATGGTGAATATAAGGGTCTCAAAGGTTTTCTAAAGCATGGGAGTTAGAGAGCTCCTCTGCACAACTATTCTTGTAGCCCTGGACTATGCAGTTCCTGTGCTATTTGCACACCAGCAGAGTCATTATTTGGCCCCACAAACACAGGGCCTCAGGAGATGAGCTACAGAGACACAGTCAGCAGGGAAATCAAGGGCACAGTTAAGCAAACCTTCCTTTTCTTCCATCCTGATGGACTTGCACCCATTTTTGCAACCCTTCCCCTGAGATAACATCTCCGGGAATCCGTGTCCTGGCCACCAGCCACAAATAAACATGAAGCAAAATGGGGCAACAAAAACTGCCTGCCAAAGGCAAAATAATTTTTAAAGGAGCTATGAATAGTAAGATGAGGTTTTTTTCTTCCTGTTCCCTTCCCGTGCTTTCTTATTATATTTCCAAAAGGGAATATCCCAGGGTTTATATGCTTGGCCATGCTGATGTGACTCTCCATGCTGGAACACAGCTCTGGAAAACAGTCCACAGCTCTGGAAAATAGTCCACAGCTCTGGAAAATAGTCCACAGAATGATGCAGTTTAAACATAGGCAATGCTATCCATATAGGAGCATCAACCACATTTCATAGAGCCATATAGGTTTGAAAAGACCTCCAAGATCATCGAGGTAAGCACTGCCAAGTCCCCCAAATCTACCATGGAGTATTTTTACACTTATTACTGCATTTACTAATTTTTAGGCTGCTGCTCAATCCTCATCACCGCAAAAAATGGGAAAAGAGCAGCATATGCAACAGGGATGGAGAGGTGAGGGCAACAGCGAGGGGGACGGGGACCTCACCAAGCAGAGAGGTGCATCCCAGCTCCTGGGCAAGGAGAGTAGAGCAGGTCCCTTGGAAACATCCCAGATCAGCCAGGGTGGGTCAGAAAAGGAGCCAGATTGGGCACCTGAGCTTAAAAGCAGTGGAGGCGGTTCCCCAGCACTGTTCCTCCCAG